AATGGGAAAAAAGCATAACTTGCATCACATTTACTGAGCAAATGAGTGGTTGTATATACATAGACGTGTGCATTTGTTGTAAATGTTTATATATATATATGAGAGCGAATTATGACGTTGGCCAGCTGTTTTGTTAACATACCGCAGGGGATACACGGCCTGAAAGTCCTGGAAATCCTGGTTCTCCCTTCATGCCGGGAAGGCCAACGATGCCCGGCTCCCCCCGAGGTCCTGCGACGCCGGTTTCGCCGATTTCCCCTGCTGGTCCGGGAGGTCCAGGAGACCCTATTCGTCCGTTGTCGCCATCTTTGCCCTCACGGCCTGGCCAATTGGGCATCAGTGGGAGAGAAAAGGGACAGATAGGAAACTCGGATTTTTTTTATAGTGAATAGTGGTGTCTTCATGCCTATGCTCGAGGGTATGCAGGCAAAAATAGTGTGTCCTCTACTTTACTTTTTGCTAACCTTCATTGTATGCTGAGGGTTGGAAAATATTTCGCAACTTGGTCGTGCTATCAGAACAACCGTGATGATCACAACTTCTTCGGAGTCTTTGGCCACAGTAGTCATGACACTCTTCAACATCGGACCGTGGACCGTGATGGTACACTCTCAGACTTTTCTCCATCATCGTTATCCGCCTTGTAAGTGACTTATGTCTCAGCACCAAGCTATAACTCGTCGAAGAGCCAAATTAAATACGCCTCGACAAAATTTAGGCTAAACAGTAGTGGATTCGCCCCTTTTGTCCTGGCATATTAGTCTAACCCAGAACACATTTAATGGTGCAGTTGCAGATTGCAGTCTGTAGCTCCTGTTTTTTAGAATCCTTTCAAACAAAAGGACTAAACTGGGCCGACGAGAGACTCTTAAACGTTTGCTTAGACTCGTTTTGCACTGAGTTTATCAATTACGGAAATCGTAGGGTCATCGAAGGTGTAACTAGCCCCAAGGAACATGAATATATGCACAATAATTTTTTTCATAAAACATAATTTAAGCGAGTAATATGAGATGTATTCACCCTATTTTGTTTAAGGTGATGAATGACTGAAAGTAGAATTTTCCCACAATAATATGAGTTGAGCTGACGTTTCCATTGAATTTCACATATCCTTGCTTTTCCAAAAGTTGTTCTCATCCAG